CAAGGCCCAGAGCAGGCTCAGCTCGGCCCGGAAGACCAGGATGGCCAGTGCTGAGAGCCGGATGAAGCGGGTCCACCGCTGCTGCAGCCAGGCCGCCAGGGCCAGCAGCACTGTGAACCGCAAGACGCAGCCTTTACTTCTCGTGTGAGAGCCACGCAGAACCACAGGAGCAGCAAACACCGCTCAGGACTGTCCCGCCCCTGCCCCTGCCCCTGCCCCTGCCCTGCATCCTGCACCGTCACACAGCCCAGACCCCAGGGGTATCTCCGGAGCCTGGGGCTCCGTGTGCAGTGCCCACCGCGGCCATTCTCCATTCCAGTCCTGCTGGCTCCGTCCACAGTTCACTGGGAATGGCGCTCTGCTCGCCACCTCCCCAGGCATGGTGAGGGCCAGGCCACGCCTCTATCGGGTCAGCATAGAACCCCAAACCCACGCCACCCATGGCCTCCTTGTGGCTCTCCAATCTGCCTGGGGCGCCCCCAGAACACCCACAGCGAGCTGCCACCTGCCCCGAGTCCCTGCAGGGCCTGCACAGGGAGCCGTCCCTGGTGCTCCCTTTCCTGGAAAGTGCACCTCCACCCGCCTGGGCTGTCCCGTCACTGGGCGTTTCTACGACGCCCCACGGGGCGCAGCGATCGCCTGGCAGGTGCTCCTCAACGGACACCCACTCACCTGTCCCCTGGCAGGAGGAGTGCTCCAAACCCAGCGAGAGGCATGGGAGCCATCGCAGGCCTGACCGGCGTCAACTACGTACCCACGGGCAGCGCCAGCACGTTGGGGAGCGTCCGCGTGCAGTAGAACATCAGGTGGAACTGCGAGGCCGTCATCCAGCAGAACATGGTGGCCGCCGTGGCCCCGAAATGCCGTCGCACTTCTTTTTGCAAAGTCCAAAGTCCAGATATCACTCCGAGTCCAAGGACGGCTCTCACTAAACACAGAGGCGACAGGTGTGTGCCCGGCCCCGCGGGTCTGACACTAACCTGCAGGGGTCGGTCAGCGACCTGGTGACAGTGAAACAACCCTGAGAGGGGAGGGTCTTTGGTATTAAAAACGACTGCGTGTGGGGCACGGATGGCCGGCCCCAACACTTCACTGTGACTGTGAGACGTGGGCAGGTCCGTACCGGGGTGACGAGCCCGAAACTGGCACCCGAAGCCCTCACTTGGCGGGGACACCTCCAGCGCCACATGCTCACAGGCCCCCACTGTCCCGCCCAGGGCTCCCCGGCGCCCCCATGACCCAGCCGGCCTGTCCAGCTGCCAGTGTGACTGCAGACTGCGGCCTCCTGGGCTGCCTTCCGAGAGCCCAGCGGCTGCTCCTCGGGGACCTGGCTCCTCGGGAACCTGGCTCCTTGGGGATCAGGCTCCTCGGGGATCTGGCTCCTCGGGGACCTGGCTTCTCGGGGACCTGGCTCCTCGGGAACCTGGCTCCTTGGGGATCTGGCTCCTCGGGGATCTGGCTTCTCGGGGACCTGGCTCCTCGGGAACCTGGCTCCTTGGGGATCTGGCTCCTCGGGGATCTGGCTTCTCGGGGACCTGGCTCCTCGGGAACCTGGCTCCTTGGGGATCTGGCTCCTCGGGGATCTGGCTTCTCGGGGACCTGGCTCCTCGGGAACCTGGCTCCTTGGGGATCTGGCTCCTCGGGGATCTGGCTTCTCGGGGACCTGGCTCCTCGGGAACCTGGCTCCTTGGGGATCTGGCTCCTCGGGGATCTGGCTTCTCGGGGACCTGGCTCCTCGGGAACCTGGCTCCTTGGGGATCTGGCTCCTCGGGGATCTGGCTTCTCGGGGACCTGGCTCCTCGGGAACCTGGCTCCTTGGGGATCTGGCTCCTCGGGGATCTGGCTTCTCGGGGACCTGGCTCCTCGGGAACCTGGCTCCTTGGGGATCTGGCTCCTCGGGGATCTGGCTTCTCGGGGACCTGGCTCCTCGGGAACCTGGCTCCTTGGGGATCTGGCTCCTCGGGGATCTGGCTTCTCGGGGACCTGGCTCCTCGGGAACCTGGCTCCTTGGGGATCTGGCTCCTCGGGGATCTGGCTTCTCGGGGACCTGGCTCCTCGGGAACCTGGCTCCTTGGGGATCTGGCTCCTCGGGGATCTGGCTTCTCGGGGACCTGGCTCCTCGGGAACCTGGCTCCTTGGGGATCTGGCTCCTCGGGGATCTGGCTTCTCGGGGACCTGGCTCCTCGGGAACCTGGCTCCTTGGGGATCTGGCTCCTCGGGGATCTGGCTTCTCGGGGACCTGGCTCCTCGGGAACCTGGCTCCTTGGGGATCTGGCTCCTCGGGGATCTGGCTTCTCGGGGACCTGGCTCCTCGGGAACCTGGCTCCTTGGGGATCTGGCTCCTCGGGGATCTGGCTTCTCGGGGACCTGGCTCCTCGGGAACCTGGCTCCTTGGGGATCTGGCTCCTCGGGGATCTGGCTTCTCGGGGACCTGGCTCCTCGGGAACCTGGCTCCTTGGGGATCTGGCTCCTCGGGGATCTGGCTTCTCGGGGACCTGGCTCCTCGGGAACCTGGCTCCTTGGGGATCTGGCTCCTCGGGGATCTGGCTTCTCGGGGACCTGGCTCCTCGGGAACCTGGCTCCTTGGGGATCTGGCTCCTCGGGGATCTGGCTTCTCGGGGACCTGGCTCCTCGGGAACCTGGCTCCTTGGGGATCTGGCTCCTCGGGGACCTGGCTCCTCAGGAACCTGGCTCCTTGGGGATCTGGCTCCTCGGGGATCTGGCTTCTCGGGGACCTGGCTTCTCGGGGACCTGGCTCCTCGGGAACCTGGCTCCTCAGGAACCTGGCTCCTTGGGGATCTGGCTCCTCGGGGACCTGGCTCCTCGGGAACCTGGCTCCTCAGGAACCTGGCTCCTTGGGGATCTGGCTCCTCGGGGA